AACAACAACAGTCTTCAGAATTATATCTTTGCTCTTCAGTGCTTCAAAGAAGTCTTTTGCAGTGGATACTGGGCAGTAAGACATCTGGTTCATGATTGCTGCTTTCATGTGTGTTGATTGTAGAACCAAGTAATAGGAAATCTGTGACACCTTCAGTCTTTTCTCCATTTACCATGCTGTTGCTTATTGGTCCAGTTGTGAGGATTTTTGTTTTCTTTATGTTGACATGTAATATATACTGCAGACTAATCTTTAATCTTCATCATTCAGTGCTTCAAATGATAGTCACTTTCAGCAAGCAGGGTTGTGTTGTCTGCTTATCTCAGGTTATCAGTGAGTCTTCCTCCAATCCTGCTGCCATGTTGTTCTTCATATAGTCCAGTTTCTCAGATTATTTGCTCAGCATACAGAATTAATAAATATGGTGAAAGGAAAAAACCCTGACACACACCCTTCCTGATTTTAAATCATGCAGTATCCCCTTTTTCCGTTCAAACAACAGCCTCCTCTCTATGTACAGGTTCCTCATGAGTACAATTAAGTATTCTGGAATTCCCATTCTTCTCAATGTTATCCATAATTTATTGTGACCCACAAGTTCGAATGCTTTTGCATAGTTAATAAAACACAAATAAACATCATTGCTTTCAGTCACGATCTATCTGACATCAGCAATGATACCTCTCATTCCATATCGTCTTCTGAATTCAGCTAGCATTTCTGGACTTTCCCTGCCAATATACTGCTGCAACTCTTTCTGAATTATCATCAGCAAAATTTTGCTTATGTTTGATATTAATGATACTGTTTGATAACTTCTGCATCCTATTGGATCACCTTTCTTTGGAATGGTCACAGATATGGATATTTTTCAGTCATTTGGCCAGGTAGCTGCTTTCCAAATTTCTTGGCATAAATGATTGAGCGGCTCCAGTGCAGCATCCATTTGTTGAAACATTTCAATGAGTATTCCATCAATTCCTGGAGCCTCATTTTTTCCCAATTCCTTCACTGAAGCTTGGACTTCTTCCTTCAATATCATTGGTTCTTGATCATATGTTGCCACCTGATGTGGTTGAGCATCGACCAGGTCTTTTTTGATAGTGACTCTGTGTATTCCTTACATTTTCTCTTGATGGTTCCTGCATCTTTCAATATTTTGCCTATACAATCCTTCAGTATTGCAATTGGAGGCTTGAATTTTTTCCTCAGATCTTTCAGCTTGAAAAATGACAAATGTGTTCTTCTCTTTTGGTTTTCTAATTCTAGGTCTTCCCACATTTCACTATAATACTTTACTTTGTTTTCTTGAGCTGCCCTTTGAAATCTTCTTTTTAGTTCTGTTTGAGGTGGCAGCTTTCCCCTAGTCATATTTTGAGGGCCTTCCAACCAGAGGAGCCTATCTTTTGACACTATATGATTTATGCATTCTTTCCCTCCTTCCATCCACTTTAGCTATTGTCTGTTCGAGAGCAAGTTTCAGTGTCTCTTCTGACATCCCTGTTGGTCTTTTCTTCCTTTCCTGTCTTTTTAATGGCCCTTTGCTGTCTTCATGTGTGAAGTTTTTGATGTCATCCCACAACTTTTATAATCCTTGGTCATTGATGTTCAATGCACTAAATATATTCTTCAGATAGACTCTAATTTCAGGTGGGATATAATCAAGATTGTATTTTAGCTCTCGTGGACTTGTTTTAATTTTCTTCAGCTTCAACTTAAACTTGCATGAGATATTGATGGTTTGTTCCACAGTCAGCTCCTGGCCTTGGCTGACTGATGATGACATTGAGCTTCTCCATCACCTTTTTCCACAGATATAGTTGATTTGATTCCTCTGTGTTCCATTTGGTGAGATCCTCTTGTATAGTTGCTGTTTATGTTGTTGAAAAATATATTTGCATTGAGTAAGTTGTCAGTCTTGCATAATTCTGTAATGTGGTTTCTGGTATTGTTTCTTTCACCAAGGCCATATTTTCCACCTGCCAGTGGTTCTTCTTTGTTTCCACCTTTTGCATTCCAATCTCCAGTAATTATGAATACACCTTGATTGTGTTTGGTCAATTTCAGATGGCAGAAGTTGGTAAAAATCTTAAGTTTCCTCATCTTTGGCTTTAGTGGTAGGTGCGTGAATTTGAATAATAGTAGTATTAACTGGTCTTCCTTGTAGGCATATGGATATTACCCTGTCAATGACAGCATTGTACTTCAGGGAAGATCTTGAAACATTCTGAATTCCATGGTATTGCTCTTCACTTTGTTGTTCCTGGCATAGTCAGCTGTATGATTGTCTAATTTTGATGGTCAATACTGGTTCATTTCAGCTTACTAATGCCTACTATAGGAGCTCTGGTAGCAGAGTGCCTAAGGCACTTGACTGTTTACCAGAAGGCTGGCGGTTCAAACCCACCAGCCACTCCTCGGAAGGAAGGTTGGGCAATCCTACTTCCGTAGTGATACTGCCTCGGAAACCCAAGGAGGGGTCGCTATGAGTCGGGGCCGACTCGACGGCAAACAACAACAACAACAACAATGCCTACTATATTGATTTTTATGTGTTCCATTTCTTTTTTAACAACTTCCAATTTTCCTACATTCATACTTCCACGTTCCAGTTACTAATGAATGTTTTCAACTGTTTCTTCTTATTTTCAGGTGGGTCCCAAAAGTTTTACTCTATCCATGTCACTAAGGTCAACTCTGTTTGAGGTGACAGCTCTTCCCTAGTCATATTTTGAGTGCCTTCCAGCTTGAGGAGCTCATCTTCTGGCACTACATCAGACAGTGTTTCACTACTATTCATAAGATTTTCAGTGGCAAGGTTTTTTCAGAAGTGGTTGGCCCTATCCTTCTTCCTAGTCTGTCTCAGTCTAGAAGCTCTGCCAAAACCTGTCCACCATGGCTGACCCTGCTGGTATTTGAAATACTGGTGGCATAGCTTCCAGCATCACAGCTACACCCAAGCCACCACAGTATGACAAACTGACAGACACGTGGTGGACAAACTAGGATACATACACACAATGGAATATTATGCACACATACAGTGAATCTGCGAAACATAACATGGATGAACCTAGAGGACATTATGCTGAGTGAAATTAATCAGTCCTAAAAGGACAAATGTTGTATGAGACCACTATTGTGAAAAAGTCAAGAAAAGATTTACACTCAAATGGGTGGTTACTAGCAGAGGGAGGGGAAGGGAAGTAACTGGAGAGTAGATAGATACATACTGACTGCAGTGTAGTAAATTACTTAGTATGGCTTTTCTATCCATAAGTCATTGTAAACTCAGTGGTGGAATGAGCAGCTGAGGAGCTCCTGATTGTAAATGTTATCCACCTGGGTTATTTCTGTTGGGCTTGGCACAATGCAGTGTTACAGGAGGCTCACTCTTAGGTGCTTATAAGTTGTTATGATTGGTTGGTTTGGCCACTCTGCCAAACTCAAAAGGAGGCCTCCTAGAGGCAGAACTCTCTCTCTGACTGCTTGTTGAGGAAGACGTGCTGCTGAAAGAGACACGTGCTCCTGAAAGAGACACGTGCTGCTGGGAAAGAGACGCAAGAGACACGCGTTGCTGAGTAAGACACTGAGGGACATGCACTGCTGGGGGAGAGACTGTGAGAGATTTGGCTGAGAGATGGTGGGCTGGGAGAGAGACTGAGCGTTTTTCCTGAACTTGAATTGTAGTCTGGTGCTTCCCTAATAAACCTCTTAATCTGTGAGTTCTGTGTGGCCACTGCAGCAAATTATCAAACCCAGGAGAGAGGTGGTCGTGCTTTGGGACGGTTGGAGAAAGGGCTGGAGGGAGGCAGCATGTCTGGCCTTGCAGGAATAGGCCTTGGGCTATTGATGGTGATTCTGTCTTCCTATTGTGGTATTAGAGGAGGTCAGATCATGTGGCCTCCTTGCCGTTTTTGCACTGACTTAGGTGAAGGAGATAGCAATGTACAGTGAGAAGGATGTCTGTTTTATTACTTTTAAATTAAAAAATTTTTAAATCATTTTTATGTATTTTAAGTTGCTTCAAAATGACTCTGGTATCAAAATAGCATTTATCCTATACTTGTTGGCAAATAATAGATGCCTAATAGATGTTTATGAATTATATATATATGAAAATAAGCCTTCCATAACTTTCTAATACCTTCTGAAATAAAAACCTTTCTTTAGTCTAAAAAAATATAAAAAGATATCAAAGTACAGAGTCAGTAATATTTTTAATTAAATATTCTGTGACATTAAAAAAGAGGAATGTAGACTCTAGCCCATTGGTATTTCCTGTTTTGGGTTTCTAGTTCCATAGCAAAAGAAGTTTTCTTTAGGGGTAATTGATGGATACCTTGTTTCAGATCCATGCACTGATTGAATGCTAGACCCTAAGCTCAGAATTGTTGGGGATTTCAGGGATGTATGGCTCTTTGAATCCACTAATCTTTGTTTTAGGGTGAGTCTTACAACTCAGTCGATTTATTATTGATTCTCCTCACTTTATTTATTTATTTGTGCTGATTTCCATTTGCTTTCCAACAGTTTCCTTTTTCATTTCTTTGTTTCTTTTCTACCTTGAACTTCCAGATTTCAGTTAAATATTGGGACTGTCAGGTTCCGGTTACTATCATGTAATAGTAAATTAGTTATATGAGAGGGTTAGAAAAGAAGAGCATGGAGAAGGCTCCTCCTTCTGGTATTTTCTTCATTTAACAGGAAGGATTTTCCTTCAAATACATGCATCTTAAAACACACACACGTACACACACACACACACAAGTTAAAACCAAAATATTTTATAATTAGAGCAAAAAATGCTGAAGGAGGGACTACAGTTTTTCTTTTGGCATCTTCCCTTGAATCCCTTTCTTGTGGTTTCTTAAATCTTCTGATGCCCTAATCCTAAGGCACATTTTTTCCTTCTCAGTTTTACCATAGGAAGGCAAGGCAGTGTTCAGACACCTTCATTTGGAGCCAGATTTATGGTTGTGACATTGTATTTTTTCCAGGAGCAGTGGAAGTGCCTGGATTCTAATCAGAAGGAACACTACTGGGATCTCATGCTGGAGACCTATGGGAAAATGGTCTCAGGAGGTAAGGCCATAGCTTACCCGTGGAAGGAGATGGAAGGTCTGGGAAGCTCTTTGGCAATATTTGTATTCTTTTCGAGATACGTGTTCAACTTGAAGTTCTCAGAGTGAGGCACATCATTAATGACACAGTTGGGAACTGAGTTGGAGCTAGCACAGCTATAGTAAGAACTTCCTTGCGTTGGATACCTGGAGCTCTAGTGGGTACACAATGTACAGTAAATCCTTATCTCCACAACCACCCTATGAAGTGGGTGGTGTCGTAGTCTCATTTTAAAGATGAAGAAAACGAATGTCAGATTGGGTCACTGGCTCCCTGTTAACATCCCTTATAAGTGCTGAGTCAGGACAGCACATGGTGTAGTTGGCTTTGAGTCTAAGTTCTTTTCCACTAAGCCATACTCCTCCCACCAAACGTGGATGGTGCCCCAGTCATGCCCTTATTCCCCAGCCTCCTATGTGGTCTGCAGTTCCTTCTGTTCACATGCTCCAGACTTTGCTTTTTGTAGTTTTCAAAATAATTCCTGGTATTACAGAGTATTGGTCTCTGGCATGCCCCACACATCCTGACTTTCCTGAAGCAGTCTTCAGAGGCTTTGTTTCCCTTCATGTTTGGTTAGAATGCTCCTTTGAAAGATAGCACGGGCTCCCTAGTCTTCCCAGTTTCCCTGGGCCCACACACTTACCTCTCTCTGTGCCAGGCATTTCTAATCCCAAGCCTGACCTAGCTAATTCAGTGGAGCATGGGAAGGAGCTGGGGGGGGGGGGGGGGACTCCACCTTCATTCCAGTGAGAAGATCCCAACTCCCACCTGTATAGATAAGTGATCTTGAACTGGCCCTGAGCAATATCTGACCTCCCCCCATTAAGTTGAATGTGGTGGTAGAGGTGGTATGTGTTTGGCTTCTATTACATTGGTTATAACTAACCATGATTAGGTTAGTTCAATTGGAATAGTGAGATTGGGTCTTCTCTTATCTGCACACAGGGCTGTTGACATATATTTGACAATGGAAGAAAGACCACACATCAGATCCGCTCCCTTGTAGTCTAGTCTGTAAAATTGTTACAATAGCTTTCTTTTACTGAGATTTAAGATTAGTACAGATTAAGCCCAATACAAAATAAATACAGGTAGAATTCCATGAAAATAAAGAATATGTAACAGCCATCATTGCCCGTACTGGCAAGAAGGTTCATAGTAATTAGACGTCTCTTATTGTGATTATAATGAATAGTAACCAGCTCATCCTTCACAAAACAAAACAAAAATAAATAAATACTTTATCTAATCTTTGCATCTAGCTTTCATTAAACAATAGCACAATAAAAGCTTCATATAAATATACATTTTAGGACTGGGTAAGAAGAAATCTGAACTTGTTCTGCTTGAAAATATCAGTAACCCTTTCCCTTCTACACTGTTTCTAAACATTGTAGTTATGAGTAACATATGTACTGGCTGTTAGCGAAAAGTTTGACCGTTTGTGTCCATCCAGAGGCCCCATGGAAGAAAGGCTTGGTGATCTACTTTAGAAAAATCAGCCATTGAAAACTCTATGGATTACAGTTCTACTGTGACACACGTGGGGTTGAAATCAACTCACTGCCAACTGGTTGTTGATATTTTGATTATGAAGTTCAGATCATTAAAATAGTGTGATTCTGATGTAAAAATAGATGCATAGATCAATGTAAGAGAAAAGAGAGCCTAGGAAGAGAAGATGGTCTATATAAGAATTTAACATGTGATGAAGGAGGTTGTTGTTGTTGTTATGTGCCATGGAGTCGGACCCAACTCACAGCGACCCCTCCTTGGGTTGCCAAGGCAGTATCACTACGGAAGTAAATTGCCCAACCTTCCT